TTTCATAAGGGCAAATACAGATTGGGCTCCATTAATTATTTTTATGTGCAAAATAAGTTGTGTATGGCCTTGTTTCTCTTCAGAAATTCCAAGAGTTGCCTGAATTTAAATTATTACGTTAAATGATGAAGGTAAAACAATATCTGTTGTAGATTCCCAACTCAGTCCACCTTGTATTAGAATATTTTACGTTGGTTTTATATAAAATAGGTGTGCTTAGCAACCATTATAACTAAGGGGACTTTTTGTTTTAAAAAATGTGTTTCTGAATGCTCTTTAGCAGGTAGTCTTTTGTCTGATTTTGCATAGGGCTTTATAATAGAGAATTCTAAGGTGAATCCAAATGGGTTCACACACCGCTTCTCAAATTGGTATTCGCTGTGTGGTAAAGACCAGTGCTTAGTCTGTTGAGACGCAGATAACTTCCTTCAGCATGCTTCACATAGAGAATTTATAAGTGATATCATAGAGATCATTATTGGCAACAGAAGTCATGATTTACCACCATATTATTTGATATTTATTTTCTTTGTTCACTGTTCTTTGTCTATTGGCTGTACAGGTATTTCAAAAAATGTAGCTAAAACTTTGAAGTGCACTAGAAGTACACTTTTTTTATCTAGGCAAAAGTGAGTTAATCAGAAATGTGGATCTTTAATATGTTGAAAAGCATTCCTGAAATAACTATGAACTTCATTACACATTCCTGCCTTAATCTTCTATTAGCACTGCCAGGTCCGAGCTGGATTCTCAGGCAAACCGCAGTACTCTGGGCCATATGCTAAATGCATTAAACTGAGAACCACAAGTCTTGTAGCTTTAACTGCCTTGTGATTGTATTCATTAATTGATTATATTTTCAGTGGAGATGCATACCAAATAATACAGTGAAATCCAGATGGTTGTAAGGAAAGGATAGTTTGAGGAGGTAAAAAAATTGCCGCCTTATTGAATCAAACCCAGCCATTTCCGGTGCCTGAGTCTGCGCTCCGCTCCACACTCTCCATATAAGGCAATGGTATTTGCATGAAGGAACGGCCTGCCATGTAAGCATGGATCTAAGACTGGTGCTGCTGACATTTTTCAACTGCTGTTGGATTACAGTGGGGAAATGATCTGTTACAGTATTTTCTGGTGAGGATTTAGCAAAGAGAACAATGGATTTTTCCCCCTCCTTTTTATGAATGAAGCATTTCTTCTTTTCGTGATTTTTTTTTTGTGAAGTTGTACATTTTTTAAAAGTGCCACACATGTAATAAGTGGGTAAAATAAAGGGCAGATCTTCATTTGTGTTCATGTGATGCCAGCCAGACCCAGTGGGATGAATGGTGTTATTGTAGCCAGGGATGGGCAGTATTTCAGATACATGTATTTAAAATACGTAGTTGAAATACAAAACGTTTTTGTATTTGAAAGTCTTTAAAGGGGTCATATGATGCGATTTCAATTTTTCCTTTCGGTCGTCACATGTGGTTGCCGCTCCTTCGTCGAATCCGCCGGCCGTGCCGTTCTCAAGCCAGCGCCTCTGTTCACTCTAGCCCGGCCTCAGCTTACGCTAGGCCGCAACTTCCACTCACGCTAGGCCGCTGTGTGTTTCGTTGTGAAAGCGAAACTACTTTGTTTGGTTTTCCAAAAGAGGACACGACTACAAATCAGTGGTATTTACAACACTGTTCCAGAACAGTTTAACCCAAATATCCAGATGTGTGCAGCGCATTTTATGGAGGACTG